TACAAAATATGGTCGGAATAGAGATTTAATTTCATCAACTGTGAAGAGATTGATTAAAAAATTCAAAGGGGTTGGATCAATTAACGATCTTAAGGGGGTCTTCTACATTGTTAGGTCAAAAAAAATTATTTTGTTTCCATAATTCACCTCTAAAAGTCATGTAAAATAAGCGACGAAAAGAAATTTTTTAAAGTTAGAGGCGTAGAACGGGGCGTTCTGGCGGCCGCCAATGCCACCTTGCGGCTCCTCCAGCTGCCACGATTGGAAAATACCAATATACCTATAATTCATGCTTGATAGGGTTTCTGATTTCTCGGCTTATTTTTTTCTCGGGACTCGAGAATTCTCGACTAGGAATTCCCGGGAATTCTCGAATTTTCGAGAAATTTCTAAAACCTAAAAAAAGTCAAAATTTTGAACTTGCAATACGAAATAAAAACATGCTAATATACTTATCATGATCAACATTTATTATTTATTCAGTCTTTTTTATTAATTTAACAAATGTTTCTACTTCTACTAACAAAACTAAATTAAACTTTGAGTATCTTCTTGAAAACCTTTAATTTGTCTTTTTATTAAACACTTTCAATATGTTTATTTCAATATTTTCTAATCTTAGCTTCTTTCCAATATTTAATAATCATTAATCGCAGTCTTTTAATTAAACAAATAGTAGATAAGGAATCTAACCGAAGAAATCTTAAACAAAAACAAGTTTTAATTTCAAGATACAGAAGCGTTCTTCCTATTCTATATTATTATTACTACTTATAATCACAATTAAAACAAAAATAAAATAATTAACTAAAGGAACAGGAACTATTTTCATAATCAACATCAACATTAGGTATCTGCTTATAAAATTTCTACGCAGTTTTCTAACTAGGCACAAAAAATCAGAATCATCAAAGTAGACTAGCTTATTAGCCTTAAAAACTTAAAATAAATAAATCACGAGCTAGTCGAGAAACCATTTCAACTACTCATCTATTTGTCGAGAGACGCATTGAACGCACGAACTAAACGAACGTGCAGCAGTGTGCGGCGCGAGAGGTGAGGGCATCGACAAGGACAATCAAGTCAAAAACTCAAGTCAAGAACTTAAGACATGCGTGATTTTTAAATTTCTCGATTTCTCGACACTTTTTTCTCGTCTCGAGTAAGGCCAAATTACCCGGGAATTCTCGATCAGAAATCTTAATGCTTGATGTAAAGTACAGCTATCTGAGAACAGACAGGTGTTCCCGAATAATCGTGAGTATAGTCTCGCTACGCAGAAACTCGGCATTGAAATATTTAAAAAACTTGTTCCCATATTTATTTAGCCATACCTATATACAGGCCAACTAATCGTAGAGGTGATAGAAATGTATACACCCAGTTGAAGAATGCGAGTGCGGGTAAACAGCGCGCACACACAGCCGTACAGGGCGATTGGGCCATAAATTTCAGTTGTCGACAAATTGTCTAGCAGTGCAGTGCACCAATTTGGTGCGGAATTTGATGCGAATAATTTATTATAGGCACCTTCTACTGATAAGAGGGATATTTTGTTTACTAATATTATTACAACATGGCATTTTGGAGACCTTTTGAAAAGGAACAACACGAAATACCGCCAGACAATATTGAGTTAGTAGAGCCGATTTTTGATGACATAGATTTAGAATTTAAAAATAAAGATTTACATATTCAATATCAGCGTCTCATTTTAAGTATTTACGATTGTTTAAAAAAGGAAGAAAATGAAAAATCAGATAATGAAATTATTATAAATATGTATAATTCACATATTAACTACAGTTTCAGTGTCCACAATTTTTCTTGTTATTAAACAAGGTACCTATAGATCATTGCGTAAAGAGGAAACGAAAACAAAAATTTAAAAATATCGATGACATGACGAGAGACGTAATTCGGAGGACAATTTATAGTTTCTATAAAGAAAATAAAGTACCAACTTTAGCTGTACCCGTTGGTTCTCGCCGAACAATAATATATTTTAATAAAAATGTAAATGTTTTTTGATATGTCATAACTAAAATTTACCATCAATACAATAAAATAGTTTGAGAACAAAAATAATTGAAATATATTGTTGGCCAAATAATCATGTAATATACATTTTCTACATAGTTTAAACAAATTATTATTTTTTACCTTTAGCAGAAAACTTTTATAGGGACGCTTATGAAACTCATTAAATTTTATTGCTAGGCGTTTTTATACATGACGTCGGAAAGACTATACAATTATTATTTTCGTGTAATACGTTCTCGAACATTCCAAAGCGTTTTATTTAAAGAAGCATTTTTTAAAACGATATCCGTCATATCTCGAAAAGTTTTTAACTGATTTCGTTGTAATTCTGCACACATTTTCTGTAAGGGTCTAGTTTTCGTCTGTACTCGAATAATTAAGATATCTTATATAGATTTTTTTTTAACTTTTTTTTTACTTGGATGTTACCGAGCGCTGTATAGCGGATTCTTGTCCCTATTTTACCTTAAAAAAATGTTGAACAACCTTTCAATATTAATAAATGTAATATTAAAGTTTTAATATAGTGTGTTGGGCGTCCTTGAACAAGTCGTTCACCACGAACCATCGAAGCAGTTTGTGAGAGTGTTGCTGAGAGTCCAGGAACATCAATTCGGTACCACGGTCAAGAACTGAATGTTTCAAGAAGCTCTCTACAGCGTATTCTCACGAAAGATTTGCATCTTCATGCTTAAAAAGTTCAATTGACTCAAGAACTGAAGCCTGATCCCGCAGAACGAAGATGTCGTTGAATGGATTATGGAAGCGGATGCTGATTTTTCGAACAAAATAATCTTCAGCGATAAGGTTCATTTTCATCTTGATGGCTTCGTTAATTGACAAAATTGTCGCATTTGGGGTTCAGAAAATCCATGAGTTGTTGAGAAACAAATACCTCTACAACGTGTCACTGTTTGGTGCGGAGGCATCATCGGACCATTCTTATTTGAAAATGCGGCTGGTCAGGCAATAAAAGTTAATGGTGTTCGCTATCGCGACATGATAATCCAGTTTTTCATACCTAAATTGGAAGATATGGATGCAGACGACATGTGGTTTCAAAAAGATAGTGACCCATGCCCGAGAAACAATTCAATTACTGTATGAGTCATTTCCTGGTCGTGTAATTTCCCGTTCAGAATCAGAATTAGCCGCATTTATGCAAAACGGTCATACTTCTTGAGTTAAATTTGGGACACCCGTTACAATTGTCTACACCTATAAACTTTGTAATTTATGGTATCATTATCACATAAGTGAAATATTTCATTAAGTAATTTACACAAATTAAAACCTACCGACTTTATTAAAACATTGGCTCAACTACCAATATAGAATTTGTAATGTTGACGTGACTACAACCATAGAACTAAAAACTAAAATCTTTATAATAACATAACAATATGACAATGCGACTATTTAAATAAAAAGTGTAATGCTCAGCAATTTCTTCTAAACAATAAAGAGCTAGAAAGCTAAATTTGACAATGAATGAATGAATGAATTTCAGTATAGAAATTAGTTCTAAAAAGCACATATCTAATACATTTCTACTGAATCGCTTCTATACTGTATATAATAATATATGATTTTGAAAATGTATGTTGATATGGGAGCTGCTCCAATTTACTGCACACAAACGTCACATAACAGTTTTAAGATGTAATATTGGACAAATTGCCACAATTTCTCTCACAGAACCTCATTGTTCAGGAATGCATGCGACCATTGGTAAAATACGACCAGTAAACGTGAGTTTGCTATCATGAATAAAGGCCATTTATAAATAAAACTCTCAAGTCCTTAAATTTCTAAACTTCCATTATTATTGGCATAATCAGAGACCAAAAGACATGCTTTTCTATAATAAAATACAGTCTAGCATTTAGATATAATCATTTGTAAGTAATTATTATCGCACCATTTATTAACATCTTTAGTGTCTTCTAAAACTTATTAGAGCTACTAATTGCGTAAATATATTTATATCGTTAACAAATTAGTATTACTACTTAGACAAATTATTTATTAATATAGTTAAAAAGTATAGGATCTAAACAAGAACCTTGCGGCACTCCTGAGGTGGCAATGTAATAAGTAGATCTACAGCCACCGAACTAAACGAATTGTTTTCAAACGAAGATCTATGATTAGAAAGATTAAATGCGCCAATAACAGAATCTAAAACTAGAGTAGATTTATACGGTCGAATGACTTACGTATGTCAGTATAGACTAGTTTTATCTGACCTTAAACCTTAAATAATAATCAGATATGTAGTATGAGCCAAATTTGCCATTTTAATTTTTTGTGTCGACACAAAATTCAGTCTTTCCTAGAGGAAAGACCAATTTTGATACATCGTTACATTTTGCATTCTGATATTTTATGAATAAAGAGTTTCCAACAATTCTAACTCTATTTTGAAAGGAAATAAACTATTTAAACCAAATTAATCACAACAAAATTCTTTGTCTATGGAAATCGAATGTGTATTTACCTCTATAGCTAAGAAAATAGTTTTATTGGGATAAAAGATGCAACGAATGAATTTTTTTTACATTGTCTTTTGCGCAAAACGAAATATTTAAAAATGACGAAATAGACGATAAATTTTACAGGCAAATTTTCTGCAACAAATTATTTAAAGAAATGGAAAACGACTTCATAGTAAATGACAAACATTGTGAATTTTTTAAAAGAATAGTAGGAGATTAAAAGAAAAAAGGATTTTCATTCTCTTTTTATTTTCAAATGAACATTGAACAAGACTTTTTTACTGACTAAATTGAAGCCAAATACAATGAGTTGGAAGGACGTCAATATTGAAATCTATGGCTGTACAATAACTGTAAATAACCCATAATATGCCTTGTACATACTCCTTAAAGATAGACACTGTAGATGTGCCTTGAGGTGAAATTTTTTTTTAGAATTTAGCTATAGCATCTTTTCAGAAGTTTCGATACGAAGGAGGCCGAGCGACGCCAATCAGAATCTGCGAAGGCTGCGACGCAAAGCTGGAAAAATTTACGCGCCGTCATGGCTTACTACCATTCTCTGCGAAAAATCAAGAGGTTTTGAAAAATAACTTTTGTAATTCTATACCTAATTCTACAGTTTTTTGGTCCTTCTGTATATCTATGGTTGTTTTTGATGGCCTCAAACTTCACTAATTTGATAAAGTTTCTACGTAGATTTACTCACACTTTTGTTCTTTTCGATGTTGTCTTTCCACTACCCTAAACAACGATAAAAATAGCCGTTTTACCGACCATTCGGTTCATCCACTCACCGTTTTATTTTTATTATTTTGTTTAGGGTAGCCTTAGCGGTTGTATTTTGCATGGAAATCTGTAGTTAGCGAATAGTATAGTGACATTAGTTACGTTGCTTGTATGTCGGTATTTCTAACACAACTTTGTTTATTCGTATCAAAGTCGATTGTAAGTAAGCGTTCATATGTTCTTTTTGCAATCTAGTTGGCATAGATTCATTTCGCTGACTCAGCAGCTAAGGTTGTATTCATTTCGTATAGATATATCTATTTAAAAAAGTTGATGCTAGATTTGAAATTGCGAAGATTTCTTACCCAAATGCATTATTTAATCATATTTTAAAAATTGGGTAATTAGTACATATTTGGGATGAATTTTAGTTGCATGAAAACTAAAAAATAAAAACTTCCTGTTCTTAAAAACTAGTTTTTCTTCATAATTTTTTGTACGTATAGTTTATTATAAAAAAGTAGGTCAAGCTGTTAACCAGATTCTTTGAGCGAGAATAACAGGACATTTCAATGCGATTTTTTCATTCAGGTGCCTTTTTTCAAGATACTGGGTGCCAAAGCTAGAATTTACTTAAATATTTTGGTAAATAATAATTTTTTTACATTTTTAATTCGACATGTGCTCTTTAGTGATATGTAATCGAATACCTATACTGGAAAATGTATGATTTTAACCTCTGCTTTCTATTTTTACAATGTTCAAACTGAAAACACATACAAGATAATTACAAACTTGGAAAATTATTTTTTAAAAGTAATTAAGCGTAAAAAAAATAATTTTCACTTAACAATTGCGAACATAATGAAAACTATCTGCCGGCATCTAATACTCTATGATGCAGCTTCAATCCGTATTTTTCAATCCGTATTCTTCAACAGCCTTTACTTTTCTGGTTTACATCAAATTTTTGTACGAAAATAAAAGTCTAAAGGATTTAAGTCCGAAGAATGAGAAGACCCTGAAGTTAACATGCATACCGCATTCCCTGACGTATAGCGAAAGGTCTTCATGAACTGGTAAGTCGTTTTCTGGAAAGTTCAAGTAGTTAATCAGCTAGGCCGTTTGTCAACAGAAAATGTCATGGGAATGGAAATGGAACATGGGAATTTTTAATAGACAACTAGTGTGTACTATGGAACACTAACCACTAATATTTTATCCACACTAGACTAATACTGAGAAACTTTAGATGAGGGACCAGTGACAAATAAGAAACAACGAATCTTGATACGAACTGTATATGTTCTGTGGAAAGAAAAAACAACCAACATAATATTCGGATTTACTATTCACAGGCAAGAAAAGAAAAACACAGGCACACAAAATAAAAAAGTGAGCTTACTTGAAAACCACATTAGGGTATCTGCATAGATGCACACAATTCGAATCCGTTGTTATTTTTACTCCAGCATCCACAGGATTTGAGTAAATGAAAAATTGTGGAAGAGCCGACTAATGGGCATCAGCAATGTTTTGAGAAAAAATATTTGGATCAGATAAAGCCTTAATCTTATGAATTATATTGTGCTGAACACTAATTAGTCCTCCTGGCCCTATGTAATCGATTTATTTGAGAAAGTCGCTAGAAAAACACTTACCTATATCGAAATTTGTACTGAATGAAGACATTTATTGCTCCAAGCATTTCAAGTTTTATTACAACGTATTAGAACGCACTAAACACTACACTTTGACTTTTACTATTTTGAAGTCCAGAATTATTGAAGCCCCAGTTTGAACATTTAAAATTCTCTATTTCTGATCGAAAAATTGAAACCAAACTATTCCTTACGTTTGTCATGAATGACCTATGCAGCAGACTATTTTCGAAATACTGTCTTCTGTTTCTTTTTTCAGTAACCAACAGAAGTCTGTCATCACATCAACATCCTATCTGTCTTGGTATCTTACTTCAATTTCTTTCAGATCTTGATGAAAGCGTTCCTTCTTGCTCCTCGCTATAATTACCTTAGTTTTCAGGAAAGTAGTTCAGGTGGGAATCAAGAAATTCTTATTTCTTCTACAGCAGTATCGCAGTCCTGGCTTTTGCGATTCTCTATTCACTAAAATTTGGAAATTAACTAGTATTGAAAACAATTTCCGTTTTTATCTAGCCTTGAAAAATTGTTTCATTAGTCAAGTATTATATGAAGCGGAGGAAACAGTATCTTCGTAGGGTCGATCATAGTTGCTCTATAAAATTGAACTTCCTTGATTGAGCACTTCTCTTGTTGGTCATTGCTTCTTTTAGTAATTGCTTTGGTCTCAATTATCCCATAAACACAAGTTGCAGGGATACTTGGTAATTCCTGAGTGCTATCCTAAAACGCCAATTATGCTGCGCAATTTTTTCCGCAGAGATAATTTCATAACATTCCTTTAATGTAGTTGAACGTGCAATGGAAATACAGATGTGTTTTATTTCCATTGTGTAGTTGTACCGCCTTGAGCTCTCTTTCGAAGAGTCTATCTCCACTCCTCGAAATTGTAATCTTTAGGTTTCAATTAATTTATCAAACCATGAACATCTGTACAATACACCAAAGAGAATAGTTTTCTTTATTGAAGAATTTTCGAGACTCTCCTCTTTGATCTTTGCAAAAAGGTGATTTCGTTCTTGGTACTACCATTCTTCGCGTCTTTAGTTCCGCAGCCAAAAATTCAGCAGCATCTCTTAGCCCTATTTTTCTAATAAGATCATTCAACTCTTCCTTGTTAAATGGATCTGGACATTTTGTTTCACCTCCTGGTATGTATTCGTCCTCATTTCTTTCAATTCTTCGGCTGATGATATTCCTGTCAGAGTCGAGTCCAAAGAATAGGGAGTCGGAAGCAGAGAAAATGTTGAAATGGAAAAGGAAGAGAGTGAGACTGAAACAGAAGAAGGCGAGATAGAAAGAACTGATGACGAATACGTAGCGACAGGTGAAACACGTCCAGATCTATATAATCAGCAAGATTTATTTCCGGATTTATTTCAGAATACTTTTATAGGAAGAGCTAGAAAGCTTAACATGTGTCAGATTTGTGTTCGACGGCTTAAAATATATTGGAATAATTGGAACTGGTCCAAATAAATATCTTGATTCCCTGCAAATTTCGATGTAAACGGTTTGTTAGCGGTTTTTCTCAAATAAATCGATTACAGAGAGCGATAAACTTCATTAAGATTAAGGCTTTATTAGTATCTTAAATAGTAACAGTTGGCAAGCAACAAGCGATGTCAGTTAGCCTTTAAATAAGTTAGCTATACTCAAATAATGATCTAAGGAAAATATTTTAACAATAATCCCCTTTTGTCAAGACCTATCTCGCATTGGAATTACCAAGTTAATTTTACTGTTAGACGTTTTGCACTTATCCGAATCGTTACTATGCAATGGCATTTTTATAAAGTTTGGTTAATAAATCTAATAAATACCTAGTAAATCAGACCCTAAATCATAATTTTACAAGTTTGATAAAAGAAATATATGGTAGATCTAAAGAACAATGTACAATAATAAGCACACAAAAAATAGGAGACATGAGAGGTACTACAAATTTCTATTTCTTCATTTGTTGTCCATAGTTTTAATCAAAATTACAAAGAAAATGTATCGGTAGATAGAAAAGTTTAAGCAATTGAATCTTTTAAAAAACGAGTATTAATAAAATTCTTTTGTATTATTTGATACTCTGTATCTTGCGAAAGAACGCCTAAATGAAAAATGGCTTAAGGGAAGTCCTATAACTTTCGACTAAAGAATGTGTGGTTAACGATTACTTATTTTGAACTTTCAAATGATTTTGTTATTGAAGAAGCCTTAAAGCCAACTAAAAAGCAACGTTGTTTCGATTCCAGAGCAAAACGTGGTCGACCAAAACTTATACAATATACAAAGTTGTACTTGAGCACTACAGTGAAATTTAGAAATAGTTAATAGTGTTAAAACAGTGATAGAAATTGTTATGTTTTTAGTTTTTATGCAAAATACAACTTACCAAGCAGGCAACCGTGGGTATAAGTTAGTTGGACTAAGCCACGGTTGCAAAAGTAAAATGGTATTTCTAGTGGAACTCTGTTTAAGTCTGTCCTATTGTAATTGGTGTTTTTTATATTATTTTTTAAGTATCTAATGTGACATGGTTGTGAAAATTGACATAATGCATTTTGGTATGACCGGTTGCCACTTTTCTCGATGAACAGTTTCCTTTTTCTGTTTCCAGAACCAAGTCCAACCAGAGGTGGATGAAACTAAGGACGACTGTACAAATATCCTCTGCAATATCAGCCAAGGTAAGGCTAGTATTTCAACTTGACTGATTCGATATTCATAACCTTAGTAAATTTATGCACTTTTGTAACAGAAGTTTTAGAAATTGAAACACATGTTCCCATAGGAAACGCTATATCTATAGAAAACGATCTTAATGTATCTAGATGAATCTTTTGAGTACTTACTCGCAAAAACCAAAATTATATCTTTTTTAACCAAGCAAAGTTAAAATAAGGAAGATGAAACTCCAATTTGAAAATATATAGGATGTCCGGGAAAATGTGGGAAATCTCTCGGGTGCAGATAGAACATGAAAAAATAAGATGAAAAGTTCCCATAAAATTTTTCGTACAGGCCCTCTCTACGGATATATGTGTGCCTGAAGGATGCCGCTGGAAATCGGTTTTTCTTGAATAACTTTTAAAATACTTAATATAATTTAATAAAAATTGTATGTGATGGACATCAGTAAGGACCTCTTAAAATAGTGTCCTTGAAACATATTTAGCTTTTTTAGTTTACCAGGGGCGGGCTAAGCTTTACAACTTAATGCCTAAATTTTTAACACCCTGTATGCTAAAGACTAAAATAATAAATCTGGGTAGCTTTAACCTTACACTAAAAAGAGGTACTCTTGTTTATTGTCGATAAAATGAACCGTGTACAAGAAAAAGAATAATAAACGAATTAATGTTTTATTTTTAATAAAAAGGGCCATGATTTCTATTTTTTTCTCGACAACAAAGTGACATCGCTGACACATAGATCTTCGTTATTAATTTACCGATTTTTGGATTTCGTGGTGAATTTAATTTTGAATAAATTCGAAATATCGAATACAGATATGCATTTCATCCGTCTTGCAATGCTTTACAAGTCAGGAAAATTAATTAATTACAGGAAAATATTTTAATTGCTGTAGAAGACAGTCTATCAACGACCACTCGAAAATTATCAGCACAGGAAACTATTTTAATTGCTGTAGAAGACAGTCTATCAACGACCTCTCGAAAATTATCAGCACAGTTTAATACATCAAAAACAATAGTACATGAAGTTCTTCAAGAACAGCTGTTATATCCATACCATTTGCAAAAAATACATGAACTGATTCCTGAATATTTTCCTCGTAGAATGCAGTTTGCAAACTGACTATTGAACCAGCAACGAAATAATGTAAACCTCATTAGCACTATTATTTTCACGGATGAAGCAAGGTTTAGCAAAAATGGTATCACCAATTTACACAACACACATGTATGGGCTGATGAAATTGGACCATTCGTATTGCCGGAACCATTGGATGGACAACTTTATTTGGAGTTCCTTCAGAACGCTTTTCAAGATTTAATAGAACACGTATCAATTGAAACCCGCCGAAACATCTACTTCATGTACGATGGGGCACCACCTCATTTGTTACATTTCCTGCCATACTGTGATTCAGGTATTTAAGTTATTTTATTATTCACACATACAGTGTGTATCAGCCAAATGGTATATATTCAATAATAAATAAATGGGGGCGTGTTCGAAAAAACGCTCGGACACGTCGGTTGGTATTTTTAGTTGGGCATTTTTTTTTAACAAAAACTTTTTATACAGGGTGTGTCATGTAACAATGGTCAATACCAACTTTCTTATTTTAAATGGAACACCCTGTATAATATTCAATTTTTGGATTATTTAGAAAATTCAAGAATATTTCATGTACAATATCCTCTACCTATCTTCAACTGTTTCGGAAATATTAAGTGTTTTCAAATTTATTACAAAAATTAACATTAAAAAAGAAAATTATTTGATTACAGAAATTTGCTACAACACACTCAATACTTATTTCCCATTTAGCTCTTGATAATGAGAAAGTAAGCAAAAACCATTTCAGCGTTCGTTTTTACTGATATAAAATTAAAAAAAAACTATAAATAGTTTTGTTTACTTTTGTTTAAAACACCTGGCCTTAGCAACGTGTTGTCTGCTTGCATGACAGTAGTTGTCAGTGTTATAGTCGTTTGAATTTCGTTAGCTGCATATCAGAAAAATAACAATTCTACAGATGATTGATTACGGATATAACATACGGACACAAATGGAAGTTGTTCGCTTATTTCATGAAAAAATTCTAAATTTGCGGCCTATATCTGAAGGGACAATTAGTAAAATAGAAAAGCGAGTTTGGACATGTAAGGCAGATAAAAAAAGCAGCTGCCAATGCAATAAGTGATGATATCAAATTGGATATTATGCTTGAGTTTGAAGAAAACCCACATACTTCTAGTCGAGAAGCAGCCCTAATGTTTGACCATTCATCGATTATTCGAATATTAAAAGAAAATAAAATGCATCCCTGTAAAATGAAACCAACTCAGGAGCTTATGGAAGACGATTTTGATAGGGGAACGTATTTTTGTGAATAAATGATGGCAATGTTAGATAACAATGTGATCCAATTAGAACATGTTTTGTTTTCTGATGAGTGTACCTTTACACTTCACGATCATGCTAATCGTCAAAATTGCCGCTATTGGTCTAATGAAAATCCTCACTGGATTACAGAAGAACACATGCAATACCCTGCGAAGGTTAATGTTTGACCAGGAATTGTTGGAGATCATAATATCATAGGTCCCTTTTTCATTGATGGCAATTTGCATGGCGATAATTATTTAGCACTGCTCCAAAATAATGTCGTCCCAATTTTGACAAATTTATATCCCGATCCAGCAAACCCACATGTTCCAGCGAATATGATATGGTTTCAGCAAGATGGAGCACCGCCCCATTACGAAATCAATGTCCGGCAATACCTCAACCGAATATTTCCAAATCGGTGTATAGGGAGGCGAGGATCGATGGAATGGCTAGCACGATTCCCTGATCTGACACCATTAGACTTCTCCTTATGGGAATATGTCAAAAGTATTGTATACAAAACTAAACCCCTCGACTTCGCTGACTTAAGAAGACGAATAACGCTTGCGATTATATCGGTCACGCCTGAGATATTGAGTAACGTTAAAAGAAATTTCTATTTAAGGTTATGATGTTCTCAAAACGTTCGCGGCCAGCATTTTGAACATCTCCTACATTGACATCAATGTTTTTTTGCTTTTTTTACATTAGTAATAAATAAACAGTATTACTTATTAGTTTTTGAGTGTGTTGTAGCGAATTTCTGTAATTAAATAATTTTCTTTTTCTAATGTTAATTTTTGCAATAAATCTGAAAACACTTAATATTTCCGAAACAGTTGAAGATAGGTATAGGGCATTGTACATGAAATGTCTAGAATTTTCTGAAGAATCCAAAAAAATTAATAATATACAGGGTGTTGCATTTAAAATGAGAAAGTTGGTATTGACCACTATTACATGACACACCCTGTATCGATGTGTCCAATCGTTTTTCCGAACATATCCCCATTTATTTATTATTGAATTTATTCCATTTGGCTGATACACACTGTATATTTGTAAAATTAATCTTTAACAGTAGATCAGGGGGTGTTATTGGAACAGAAATGAAAAAAATTGATAATAATCTTTCCAGAAAATTCGTTGCCGGCTTAGAATTTCCGAATTGCACTCTTAAAATATATTTAAATGTTAAATACATAATTTAAAAAAAAATTAAACTTCATTTGTATCTTATTGTGATGCTGTTGGGACTATTTTTTAATTGAGTCGAGAGTAGTCTGCGGACTTGTAAAGTATAGAGATTGTATAACTTTTTATAAAAGATAATGGAATGTTAAACAGAAAAACGAGCATTTCCGACATAGATACAGTTTTATTTGAATTCAATAAAGGAGTGAAGGCATAGGATGCCACTAGAATCATTAGTTCCGATTACGGACAGAAAATTATTGGATACAGTATAATACGAAAATGGTTTCAAAGTAAGCTATTTTGCAATGAACGATTCTCCATACTCAAGAAGGCCATTGATTTTAATAAACATCATTTGAACGTTTTAATTCAAGATGAACCACGTCGATCAAATCGAGAATTGACCATAGTACCACATTTGCATTACATGGTCAAAGTTTAAAAATTTGTGCCATATTATTACTAGTGGCGAAAAATGATGCATTTAAGTCAACACCAAAAACAGAAAGGAATAATTTCTAGTAGAAAAACAACTCCCGGGTAAAATATGGTACCTATCCTCGTAAGCTGACATGTGCATTTGGTGCGAAAAAGGAGGCGTTGTCTACTGTATATTACTACCCAGGAACGTAAGCATCACTGCTAAGATTTATTGTCAATGATTCCATGGTGTTGGGGCCGTCAAGAAAAAGGTCAGGAAGTCATTGAGTGATTTTATAGCATGAAAGCGCCCGCTCTTCTCTGTTAACATCACAAAAGTGACTATTTAGAAATTCGTTTGGGAGGTTATTCCACATCCGCCATATTCTCCTTACCTTGCCCCATCAGATTTTTATCTGTTTCATTTTTTATAGAAAACCTTCAAGGAATCTCCTTTACTGACGACGTTGCGCTTCAAAATTAGCAAGGCGGATTATTCACTTCCTAAACATGGAATTCCTTCAGACATGGAACAGAAAAACTGCTATATCGTTCATCAGAATCAATTTTGAATTCAATAAAAGTGCTACAAGCTTTTGCGTCAAACCAATATTTAATCTATACATTTATATATACACCTCATTTGAAATGATACTTTAGATAGGTTCCATTTAGACAATAAGTTTCGATTGCCTGTTTCCTCGGCAAATACGAGAAATCCGAAATTGTCGAAAGTGACTAGACTAGAGATGCGTTGTATTAGTAATTTACGCACAATAGTAGAAAAAAAATGTATATTATCCACGTGTATGAAACATGTCGAAAAAATTAATTTAACCATTAGAAATCGTTTAGCATTTAGCCAGTATCTTGTCCGCTAAGCGCCTTTTCATGGATAATCTCTGGCCAATTTTTTACGACATGATTTACAACGTATTCCAGTGAAATGAATATTCAGAAGATATCTTGGGGTGATAGATTGAAACTA